GATTTGTTGACTGATAATGAGATTCTGAGCTCCTGAAAATCGTGCTGTTCAGGTAATGTCAGTGCCAAGAATCAGTAAGCATCTGTACTTGTTATATTATTATTATTATTATTATTATTAGCAAATGAACACAGTTACATGCTAAACTATAAAGGTTGCCATGGTTAATATCATGCAACCTATTTTTAGGATACGAGCTCAAGCAGGTTGTTTAAACAAACTGACTGATGCGGTGCATTTTCTGTAATTAGACCTGAAACCTGCGTGGAAATAATGTTATAGTATGATAAACAGTGTGAGCCATATGATGTTTAAACATGCAAGAAGCTTAGCTGCTGCTCAAATCTGCAAAACTGGAAATAAAATGAAATACCACTCACTGCCACTTCCTTTGTGGTGTTCTAGTCAACATTAATGATGCACCATGTTTAAGATACAGTAGCTGTCCTCAGAACCAGACGCTGTCAGTACTTTGTCTGCAGTTTGTATTTAGCTCTTTACCTCCACATGTTAATATTGGGTTAGTTGCGTCTCTGTGCACACAAGACGATTCAACAAAATAAAAACAAATAGCGGATTTACAAGAGAAAATCTGTCAGGCAGCGTAAAAAAAACGGTGTAACAAATTCATTATTTTTTCCCCCCATTTCTTTCCGATTAAATTTATTTTTAAATCACATTTTGGTGTGAAACATTCAGCACAATGCACGACATGACATACTTCTCTTTTCATTTGACATTTCAGAGAATCGGAAATGACATCATCAGTAAAACTGATGCGCCAGTGAAGACGAAGTGGAACCAATTCAAGATTAACAAAAGTGCCAAAATCAGATGAAACTGTCTTAACTAACTAACTAACTCGGCTATTTAAAAAATTCCACTTGCCAAGTGCAAGAAGCGCATGGAGTTGATCTCATCTCTTCACAGCCGCCTGAGAACTTTTATCTGACGAGAGTAGCAGAGCAGATATCTGAGTGTGGGAGTGAGAGCAGCAGCAAGAGTAAACTCAGCTGAGATATTGTTGATTTCTTTCTGCTTCTTTATGTGTATGTGTATGTGTGTGTGTATATATATATATATATAAAAAATTCACACGCTACCCAGCAGTGTATGATGTAACATTAGCCCCACACTCACCAACTGTTGTATTAAAATGATGTACAAATGAATGCATGAATAATTATGATCCCATGCTATCATACATCATATAGAAAGCAGAGGTTAATAATTGTTTTTACAGTTAGGACTTACACCGTACTTTCTTGTTCTAAGCATCATCAACACTGTTTTAGTGTTTCTCTATTTACGCCTTTAACTCTGCCTCTCTGGCTTTGTGGGCGGGCACATGGCACAAAATCTGGTTTTCACACTGCATGGTTCGCTCTCGATTAGCCTCGTCTGTACGTCTGCTGGATGGCACGTTAGAGCACGTGCACCCGTGCGTTACATCATAGTCTGAACTCGTGTCTACACGCTAGATTTTCAAAGGGGAGGATTGAGACAAAGAACGTCTATCTGGTGATCACGTAGAAGAGCGATCATGAGGGGGGGCTGGCATTTCAAGCAGCGATGAGGATGTTTTCAATTCAATGTATGCTCACCGATGCAGGAGCTGCCATCGAGCACGTAGGAGCCATTGTCATGGAAACCACTCCTGCATTCACAGTGGTACCAGCCGGGCAGGTTGACACAGCGGGAGTGGTTGTGGCACTCAATCAGGCCCTCTGCACACTCGTCAATATCTGAGGACACAAACACACACACACACACACACACACACACACACACACACACAAGCATCAGCATCAGTCTAAAATAGTTTTCCAGCAACAAAACCTGAAACTTCAGCTTATTTGTGTCTTTGTTTGCGTGACCTTCGATCTGTGCTGGTTACGACAGTGGAGGTTGATCCAATCAGAGCCGTTTCAGCGGCTGCCCACATTAGACAGCCGACATCTCTGCAGCCGGTCTGCCACAGCGGGGATCAAAGTCTTGTTGGAAATCAAACCATTTGGCAGCGGAGATATTTCCTTCCTGCACTTCTCTATTTATGCTCTTCGCTCGTTCTGCCGCTTCTTCTCCGGCTTTTGCTTTGTTTCTGGCGTGCGGCGTGCATACACATGCCCGGCCCAGAGGCGTTACAGTCCTCGCTCCTTCTCGGGGGAGCATGTCTCTCTCATTCAATATGTATGATGTGGCTCCTCATCTGCAGCGCTCTCACTTCTGGCTGTAAGACCCGACCTGTGCACACACTCTGATGGTTAAAGCGTGACCTTCAGTCACAACTTCTATCACCTAAATGTGAACCGTAGCAAACAAGGAAAGGTAGCTAGGGACTGCTCGTTGCCTTTTATGCCTGTGTGTTTCTCATGCGGTTGCTGAAGGTGGGACATTTTAAAGCAAATTAACAAGAAAAAGTGCAGAAGTTTGTAGCCTGACCAGCAAGCATTGGTACAAAGTAACAATGTAGTCCCTCAAAGCAGTACAACCAAAGATACAAGTGAAGCGACATCTTCCTTATTGACAAATCTGAGTGTTAGGCAGACAGTTGCAAACGTTAGGGAGAATAAAAGCATCTTGGAGAACTACAGTTTCTCCATCCATCCAATACAAAGAAACAAACTGGCCTTCTGATTTTGTGCTATTAACGTGTTTCTGTTGCTCCAGCCCTGTTGTAAAACCTTAGAACCCGTCTTAAGATCCCCCCCCCCCCACACACACACACACACATTTATCTCTACACAGATAAAAGAGAGTATTGTGTGTTGTGTTTGTGTCGTTAGCCTGGTGTGCTGTTGGTAATACGACGTGACATCGGCCGGGAGGGCTGCCCTCTGTCAGCCTCTCGGGTCAGAGCTACACCAGAAGATTCCTTCTCTGACATCCCTCTGAAACATGGCAAGATTAGAGGTGACTGGTGGCTGAGAGCAGCTAACCCTTCAACAAAAGAGCAGTGCTGTGCAGCGCGAGTGCACGAGAGTCTCTCTGGCCTCCACTCCTCAAACACAGACGATCGTGTCCATTGGAACATGTGACTAAACGCCAGATGTCCTGCTGCCGGTCTGACAGTCTGTCCCATTTTCTTTACTTTTACTTTCGTATTGGAGCTTTTTTCATCTCTTAATTGTAATTTCTTTATGAAAGAACAAAGACTGTGGCACAAACCAAAACAATGATCAGAAATGAGTCCAAATCAAAATGAGTCCTTTGTAAAAGAAAGGAATAGAGACAAAACAAGTTAGACCAACGAGAACCGCTTTGTTGTGATCAGATAATAGTATTGAATTACTTTGTGGCTGTTTGACTTTGAAAGTCTACACTTTAGACTGAAGAGTTTCAGAGAATAACATGGACAGCATCTTGAAATAAGAAACAATGAGCAGAAAATGACACGCATGTCATAATAATTCTGTTATCTATGTCATATTATATTCATTTGACATTGATGATTGCAAAGCTGTCGGGTTGTGTGCAAACACTTTATTTAACCCCGCATGAGAGCCATTGGTCACTGCGGCGGCAACAGCTGTCGGCAGCTCTTCTAAATAACTTGTATATTGTTGTCGTGTGTAACTATTCAAATGACTTGCCGTCAACGCTTTGTGCAAAGTAGGATCATGGCACAATGATTCCATCAAAATAAAGATTTTTTGTTAATTTATCCATTCATTTTTAATTTGCTGACATACAAACTTTCTACTTTCACATGTTTTGAGACTCAATTCTGTACCTTCAGCATGTAGTCGCATGCAAAACACTTGCCTGTTTTGCACAAACAAATAAAGATGTTTCTTTTCCTCGTGCTTTGTAAGGAAGGCAAGAAACAACGCCCAGTTGGAACATCTACAGTGCACAAACAGGCGTGAGTGCTGCCAGCCTTCCTAATAACAATAATTCTGCCCTGCGTCCTACATGTCTGTCCATAATTCATGCAACGTGACTCATTCTGACTGAGAGGTTTTTCACTGCTACAACAAAATGCCACCACTTTAATTACATTTAGGCATAGGAGGTTCTGATATTCTTCTTTCATCTTCCTAGGGAAATGCTCACCGTGTCTGTAAAATAAATATATTTCTCCGTCTCTCCCTGTTTCATCTATCTCTGGCTTTCCTGTATTTTACAGAATAAAGTGACATGTGTTTAAATAGTTGACTCTGTACTCTACAGCACTGAATTTGAAACAATTTTCAACAAATGACTATGCAGATATACTACCTACTCCCAGCTTCAACAGTATCTGGAGGTGTTTTAATCTATACTGGGTGCACAGTGTATGAACAGTAACTTGGACAATACAGCATCAGGATAAACACAGACAGGACAAGAAGTCTTGTTTTAAATACAGTGGAATGTTCTTGACTTGCCAGTCATCTGATCCCAACACAGCATGCGTTTCATTTGCTGAAGAAGCGCTGTTGACTTTGCACATCCAAGATGAGTACAGAAAGGTATTAATTATTGTTGGGACATACAGTACTACCGTTGGTTACTGCTGGTTAATGCACAGCAGGTACAAAGGGGCGAGCTTGCTCCTCTGCAGACTTTAAAGATTGTCAAGATGGTTTGCAAATGGACAACAACAGTAAATTGTGTGGCAAAGTTCGTCAAAGTTGAATTCTACACAATAATTGAAATCACTGATTGTGTCAATTCCATTGAAATGAACTGATTCTGACAAATCTTTACCTGAAGCTGTCCTTTAAAAGTTATTCCCCAATAACTGCCAAACAACTGAAAAACAGCTATGACTCCTACACTGTTCATCTGCTGTAAATGTAGAGCTAAAGGTTAACATCCAACCAGGCATGAGACCAAGACAAGTACACAACTTCATCAAGTGGTCTTTCAGACCGGACTCAAGCACTACAGTCCAGTATAGTATGTTATAAAAAGTAATACTATATTATGTCATTAAAATGTAGAAGTCATGGTATAGTATGTCATTAAAATGTCAAAAGAGTCACTCCACTAGATGCCCCTGTGTCCTGTGCTTACTGGCTCTTCTTTGTCTTGCAGGAACCGGGTCCTCAGCTTCATGAGCCACACCTGGACCTGGTGTGGTTCCTGACATGACAGGAGTGCCCCCTTCTCTCCCCTTGCTCCAGATGTTCCACACATCACACATCCATGTATGCTCACCTGACTGGTAACCTACTTCCATGATTGTGCTTTATACTAAAGCCAGTATTGCTGTAGTAGTGGTCATTGTTCAATCATTATTCTGCTTACTAATCTCATTTTATTTATCATTTACCTCATATGCATTGACAGTGTTGTAAATCTATTATGTTGTTCATTCATCATGACATCTATTGCACTTCTGGTCATCCTGGGAGAGGGATCCATCTTCTGTTGCTCTCCATAAGGTTTCTTCCTTTTTTCCCTGTTTAATGTGTTTTTTGGGAGAGTTTTTCCTTTTCCAAGGCAAAGGTGGGACAGAAGATGCTGTGCACTGTACAGATTGTAAAGCCCTCTGAGGCTGATTTGTGATTTTGGACTATACAAATAAATTTAATTGAATACCATCACCTTTTTTTCAACATACTATACTATGACTTCTTTCATAAACATTTTCGACATACTATACTATGCCTTTATTTGATTCAATTCTGAACATACAATTACTTTTTTTTCATGAAATTTGTCGACTATCCTATGACTTTTTTATTACATTTTTCGACATACTATACTATACTATGAGTTTCTGTCAATTCCTTTCACAGAGTTGCTCTGAGAATTTTCCTAAATCAATCCTAAACTAGGACTCCTTGCTCGAAATGTTTAAGCCATGCGCTCCGTGAGAGTATTCTCAGAATGTTAATGAAAACGGGCCAAGGAATATCCAAACCTGCGATAATCCACTGCACCAAATGCAAGCATAAAAATAACTAAGTCCACCAGAACTCTGGATCTCTTTTTAAGGAGAGCACATGTTGTTCAAAACCCCGTTCAACATCCGCCTAGAAAGACCTCATTTCATGCGCACACAGACAATAATTCCTGTTGCTCAACAGTCATATAAAGCCATTTGTTAGCTGGTGTAGGCGTAGAAGTGTGTGTGAACAGCCTTCCATTCTCTTCGTCTGTGGCAGTGAAGTGGACAGGTACCTTCCTGTGGTATAAAGTACAATAGGTTCGAGTACACGCGCACGCACACACACACACACACACACACACACCATCAATCTTTGTTACAGCAGAACACATTCCTCTCTGTTTACTTCTATTACAATGCAAACGTGAGCACTTAGCACTTACTTCTGCCCCATTTGTGGATTTTCCCAACAGGCGTACATGAAGACTTTCATGACAGCCTGGACTGTGAAGAACTGAGCTTTTTTTTAAGCTTACAGAGGAAATGGGAATGAATCCTCGCATAGTTAAAATAATCCCCAAGCTCTTGGGAGTATCCGCTAGCCTGCCAAGCTTCACACCCTGATCTCAGCCCTACTAACCTACTGGAACATCATCACGGAAAATGTCACAAGGGGCATTAACAGTAATGCGTCTTAGGACAGAAACAACAACCAAGGTTTGTGTTGGTTAGTCTGTGACCAGTAAATGTGCATTCAATTAGAAGCCTGCTGGTTTAACGGAGCAGTTAAAGTGACCACAGACCACAAGCAACCAGTAATGAATGCATGCAAGACCATAAAACGATCGACATCTTCACTAATTTACATTTATCTCATATGAAATGTCTTCTTGCTACAGCAACTTGATATTGACACGATACAGTATCTAAGAGCAGGAAGGAGATTAGGTGTGTGTGGGTTTTTAAAGGTTGGCATTGCTAGTAGGTATATATTTAGGGATTTGCAAGTCAAATACAAGTTATTTACACTAAGTTACATGTTTCAACAGTGTTCAAATGACTATATTTCAATGCAAAGCACATCCTAGCTACATGCTAAAATATAAATCAATGAATTGCTGTTAACACAACGACCTGGAAAGCATCTTGTACTTTTCAAACAAATACAGCCTAGGTTTAACTTGAACATCTTTTTACCTGCACATCAACATTTGGAAGTTATCCAACCACACATATCATTTGCCTCACTAAGACTAAGCCTCTGGCATATTTTTAGCATTTCAAGCAGTTTCGCACCAGGAGTGTTGATTGTTTTCCCATCTTTTCCACTGGAGTCACAGTAGGAGCAGATGTCTTCACAGACAGTATAGAGAGGTGGAATAAATTCAACATACATATTGTACGTGAGAATTGTATTAAGATAGATTTGCGGAATCTGAACCTATCCTTTAATGTTGCTCAGAGCTTGATCTAACTCTACACTTCGATGTTTTGAACATCAAGTTCAGTTTTAAACTTTGAAGAGCTGGTGTTTAGTGCACTTTGATTGAACCTCAAAAGGCTCATTGTACCGCATATACATCGGAAAAAGAACGGCTGCTTCTACTGTCTAACATATCAGTCATACTGAAGCAAACATGTGGCCCCTTGTGCTTTAGAAAATGGTTTAACTCTAACCCAACCAGGTATTGTACAGTGCGAGCATTACATTGACTTATTGACAAAGTAGCAGTATGCACTTCACAATGTGTGAACCGGGAGTTCATAGCAAGGTCAGCTGTTCAGTGTTTTGATCCCGTTTTGAGCATTTGATAAAATAAACCCCAAGGATCCAACAGTGGACCGAGGAGCGGGTCAATGAGAGGACGAAAAGATCAGTGAAAAGATCGACTTTATATTTAGATGCTCTTAACCTCCCACTGAGCTACAGTGTACACCACAGAGGAGAGGAGTCGGTGGAGCAGCGATGTGTTTCATTACACAGGAAGGAAGAGCAGCAGAGAGGGAGATGGAAGTGGAGACACACGAGAAGGTGCAGAGACGGGTTGAGAGAAAACATGTCGAGTTAAAACAAGAACCTTCTGTACAGCTCGTATATGATGCCTGAAAAAAGTCGTCGAGTGAAACTACACCAACCCTGACAGCACTTTGAGGACATCGAAGTATTTTACTTACATTACACTGTCAAAACATACAATGTATGTATATTTTTTTACTATAGTGGTATTTGCTTAAACTGTACAGTACAAGACAGTTATGTAAATGATGCATGTGTCGGATATATAAAGAGTCGGCTCTGATATACACCGTACCGTTGATGCTTCATAGAAACTTAGAACTCTTCCAGCACTTTCACTTCTCTTCAAACTCTCTCAGCGTTTCAACTTCTGCCAGCTTCATTTAGAAAGATTGCTTTCACACAAACACATCTCAGAAGCACCTACCGGTCAGCAATTTAACACATTTAAGCTGCGTTCAATATTTCAGCTGCAAGTTTTCAGCGGAAGCAAGCACATGTACATTTTCTTTTAAACGTGGATCCTTTTCTATTTTGACATAAAAGACATGCTCTCTCTTCACGTGATGAGGATTTTGTTTGATATGTTATCTAGCTCAGATGTAAGCACACAGCGAGTAGAAATCACACCCTGTTCGTCTGTAGCTTCTGCAAATGATATGTACAGTACATATCGAGATACATAGTTTGACACCCAGGTACAGATATAGACACAGAGAGACAGAGTGATTTTGCACGGCATCACATCTGTAGCAGCCTCGGGCAGCAGCCAGAGGGCCATGGGGAGGAGCCTCATTAGCGGGATGATGAGTCCATACTTTACTTCCTATGGGGGGAGGATAGCTGCATTCTGTGCCTCACTTAAACACATCTTTCTTTCTTCTTTGCATAATATTTTTCCTCCCCTCTAAAGTGGTTCAAAGAGAAGCAACAGAATGATTTTGCAGCTGCAATGTTTTTTTCTCCAATCCTGCATTTAGTAATATTGCATCAATATTCAATTTACCTGCACAAATGCAAGGTCGGTGCCAAGTTGTAAGGTCGAAATGTTACGTTTTGGATATGAAATATGTTTTTTGTAGAGTATAGCACTGAGGAGTTGGACACACACAAACACACATTCCTCATATCATGTCATCTCCAGTTCAGTAAAAGGAACATCTGCAAAACTAAAGCCTCCAACTTCTAAAACCTCTAATTTGAAATAGCACTTGGTCATCATTGCTGTGAGAATTACCAGCAACTGTGACAGCAATGAAGTCATATTTTATTTGTATTGAAAGTATGCAGAAAGTAACAGCCATAATATCAATGAAATAAGTGATTTGTGTCATGTTTCCCATTAATATGATCAGCTCGCTGATGACTGGTGCAACAGAGCATAATCCACAACAGACACAAACGTTGGATGAAGACAGGAAATGTATCCCAGGGGGACTGCAGCAAACACACTTACAGAGTCTTCCTCTGCATTACACGTTAACAGTTATTAGGACTGACAGGAGTACCTGCATCCAGACTGACTTATGTCTCCAATAATGTGCACATGTAAGTGTTACCTGGTATTTAAAGGGAAACCATGGCAGCATGCTGTGAATAGCTGACCTGTAATTGTGGTGCACCATGAGAGCTGGTACCTTTGTAAAATGAGACCGCAGAGACAGAAGGCTTAATAACAGAATAGAGGGGATGTGAGGAGAGACGAGGAAGCGAATACAGAGAAAAACAGGGAGGAAGATAGAGGATGAATGAGCAGAGAGAGATGAAGAGATGAGGGAGAAGAGGAAAAAACAAAGAGAGGAAGCAGTGAGGGGAAGGAATGGGAAGGAGAAGAGGGGTGAAAGCAGAGAGAATAGGGAAAGACAACAGAAGAGAGGAGGAAAAGGACTGGGAAGAGAAAAGGATAAGGAAAGGATGGAGGGAAGAAGAAGAGATGAGACCAATAAATGAAGGAAGGGGATGAAGAGAGGGGAGGAAACTAGAGGATAGAGAGAAGGAGAAGAAGAGAGGACCACAGAAAGGTGGAGAGAAGAATACAGGAGAAGAAAGAGTGGTGAGGACAAGGGAGGAAGAGGGGGGGGGAGAAAAGCAGGAGAGGAGAGTAAGAGATAAAGAAAAGAGCACATGAGAAGATAGTAAAACATGGAGGAGAGGGAAGGAAGGAGGGAAAGAGGAAATGTTTATAGAAGACAGAGGGGATGAAAAGGGGGAGGAGTGGAGAGGAAGGATGGGAGAGGGGAAAAAAGAAGAGAAGGGAGAAAAAAAAAATAGAGAACGGAAAAGGAGAAAGAGACTTAAGTTGGAGGAGAGAAGAGACGGAGGGGGAGAGGAAGAGAAAATGAAGAGTAGATAAGAGGAAGGAGAAAGGAGTGGTGAGAGGAATTATCTGTCCTTTTCTACAGCTCTCCTGGGTCCAATTTAAAACACAGGGCTTTAGAGATGAAGCGTGAAAATGTGTATGTATGTGTGTGTGTGTGTGTATAAGTGTTAGTGTGTGTGTGTGTGTGTGTGTAAGAGAGAGTGAGTGAGTGAGAGAGAGACCACTGCCGAGCCCTCAGACCGACCTAATGACCGTTCCTTTTGATGTCACTGCGAAACTCGATAAAAAAAACAATATCATGCTCCAGCTGAGCTGTAATTAGGGTGGGACACCTGAACAAGCCGTACAGGTGAGGGGCCAGGTGGGGTCCTCGGGTCTCACCTGTCTCACAGCGGCGTCCTGTAAATCCTGAGGGACAGACACATGTGTTGGGAGACACACAGGTCCCGCCGCTCCGGCATCCCTCCTCACAGAAAGCTAGAAAGAGAAAGAGCGAAATATATTAGTTCAGTTTGTCTTCATATCCTGGATATCACAGCAGCAGCAGAAGTATTTCTGAATTATTGGTTTATAAATGGTGTTTTTATATTTGGATGCGTGTGTGTGTGTGTGCGTGTGTATGTGTGTGTGTACTCGAGATGTGGAGTGTCATGGAGCAAGCAGATAAAATATTATCTCAAGATCTAAAACGGTAATATTGTGCACCTATGAAGAGGCACCTCACTATTACCGACATCACCTGATACACAGCTCAGAACTGTAAAACTCAACCTGTCCTCCTCAAATTCATTTTGCGTAACTGAAAGTGTCTGATGTGAAATTAGTTTTTCAAGTGGTTATCACCTCTCCATGTGGGTGTTAAAGTATCAGAGTTAAGTGCTGGAGATAAAGCGGCACCGTGGGTAGACATTTGTGAAAGCGAGACTGGCCACAGTGGTGTTTTTTTTTTTTTCCAAAGATGAACTTATTAATATGTTAGAATTAACAATTGATCCAATGACTATGTTTAGTGGGGACCACTTTTAGTAACACGCCCACAGTGTGCTTCCTGTCCGGCACACAGACTTAACTTAAAATGTGGAAATGTTGGTTCAAATTAACAGCCGTGAAGCTGCTTCTCCTGCAAAACTGAACTGACTAGTATATCTGTTCTTTATTGGGTTCATCACTAAGTTTGCTTGTACTGGACAGCACAAGGATGAAACAGATTTAACGTAGATATACAAGCTGGGCTCCAAGGTAAATGTATTGCTGTTACAGATCACATTTATTCCGAGAAGAGTGCAAGCACTTTACAAATCCACACATTCACCCATGCACACACACGCAATTGTGGCAGAGCTACCATGCAATGAGCTCACCCCAGGAGCACTTCTGAAGTTCAGTGTCAAGGACTACCTGCTCTACCACCCGAGCTACTGTTGTGCTATACTCAAAAGAAATGGGATAGAATCCCAGCATTCCTGGACTTGCTGCCTCACATTTTCTCTTCTCTGTATTTAATAAGTGCCTGGTGTTGCTGGTAAGGTCAAGGCACCAGGCATAGACAAAAAATACCAGTCCTTTCACCGTGTTGCACCGCCAAAAACTGCAGATCCTCAAACGGCCACATGAGGATGGCTCCAAAAGTGAGTCAATCCCCATGGACCCGCATGTTCAAATGCCCAACTTTACAGCAGAAATAAACACTCATATCAAGGCTTAAAATTAGCCATGATTAGGTGGCTTGCAATCTGCAACCACAGCGCTTCACTGCTTTAAATAAACCAGTGTTGACAGCCGATGGGGTGCAAACCATAGTCTCTCTTGTTGAAATCACACACTTTGACCATCTACACCTAGTTTAGACCTCATCCCTAAAGTGCCGGATCATATTCATATATACATACATACATACATACATACATACATATATATATATACACACACACACATACACACACACACACACACACACATAACAAGCAACAATATAATTCATCTGTAACCCACGTAAACAATTCATATGTAATCCATGTTATTGTGAGCCTTGACCTCTGATGTAGTATAAAGAATGAGAAAGTCCGCAAAGGGAGGAGGATTAGGTTGGGTGGGTGGTTCTAAAAAGCCAGACCTTCACCCAGTAGACCTGTTGGTGTCTTGTGTGAAACCAGAAATTAAGGCCAACTTATTTGTCACAATCTAAATTCAAGATTTTTAACGTTGACAGGCCATATTGCTCAGTCAGATATAAATACAATTAGGTTGTAATATGCATATTGTTATTGATTGCCAACAGGGCTACCTGCATCTTTCACGAGGTGACATTTCACATGTCTATTTTGCAGTTTATTGACAATCTTATCAATGTGCTCGTTCACGTGTAAGAGCACGCGTGTACAACCGTCTCCCCGCCTTTTGTTGGAAGCTGGCTGGCGGTGCAAATGCCTGTGATCCGTTCCACGAGTGCACAGGGTGCGATGCATCAACATGGCCGAGACAAACGCACAAAAAGAGGAAAGGGGAAGGTTGAGGAGAGCTGGCAGATGAATTTACTCAACGGGACAAAAGGAAGAGCGAGTGCAGTGAGGAACAGTAGTTACTCAGTGCTTAAAGTGAGGAGGATTAAACCAAAAAGAGGGCAGACTTAATTGAGCAAGTTCATTAAAGAGAAATTACTTAAGTATTTCTAGGCTTAATTAATGACACGATTTGAAAGATGAGCCTTAATGGGCTGAAGGATCTATTTATAGTCACATAGGGTGCGTGAGTGTGACATCTCAATGTGTGTGTAATGCATGTGAGGCAGCTCGTCTCCCTTTAGTTCATGAAACCAAAGCAACACAATGTATCCGTGTAAATTCTCACCCTGGTGTTTCGGAAAAAAACGTGCTTGATATACAAAGGAATGCATGAGTGCAATAAATAATAACAGAGTTCCGTGCCAGAAGCTATTGGAGCTATTAATTTGACTGGTTCCACTATTTAAGAAGTTCTATCAGGCCCTCATTAGGAGCCTGATTGCCTCTGTACTAATAAACCTCACACTTAAAAATTAATTACACTTACATTGACTCAATCTATCTCCAGCTCTAATTATCATTTCACCACCATCAGCATTATGCCGCCTGTCTGTTGAACTAATGACTAGCGAAGATGAGGGGGCTTCTCTAGGGCGGGGGTGGTGTATGCTTTTTAAGACCCACATTTTTCAACAACTTTCTCGCCCAGACACAACCACCAACTTGCCTCCAGTATTTTATTCTTGTGAGAGTGAAAGTAAAATATCCATCGGCATACTACAACTCTACACTGAAGATTTTATGATAATAATATCAGTAACAATAATCACGTGGTCAAATTGGATTAAAATGAGCTCAGATTAAAATTAACTGATTTATTGCATTACATATATGTTAAATATCACACAACTTTAATTCAAGATGAACGTTGATTCCAAACTTCGATCCGAAATTCACGACACTTTAACTTGCAGTTTGCAGCGTATGTCTGCAGGTAGGGTCGGGCTTTGTTGGGTATTGTTTTTACCTGATTTGGACAGTTTTTCATTAAGCTCTGAGTGAGATTTCTAAATGGCAAGGATCATTTTCGTCTTCAACTCCCCTAAATCTAAATGTTAAATCAAGCTGCTAGCTGCTGCTGCTTTTATTGTTTTTCCAATCTACTTTAGATGAAACCATGCCCACTCCCGTATGATGAAAGCCTCGATATGACAGCCACAGGGACCCTTAACAGCAATATAGGGCACTGAGTAAAGGAGACTACCTCAAAGTCAGCCAGCGTAAACACCGTTGCCGGGGGTCTGATACCAGACCGCCTTGACTCTCTGCAAACTTTCTGTTGCTGATTTAAAATTGAGCTTTAATATTTAGATTTTATATGTATTTTTTACATATAAACATTTTGTTAAGAATTAGAGCATGTTGTTGTACATGCATTTCTGTCACAGATGTGAGCTGAATGTAAAAAGATATGCTCTCTGAGAGGAGAACTTCTTGTTTTCAGAGGTAGTGGTTTTTTCCGACTATAAATAGGAAGTCTGATAGTGTGATGCTTTTCCATTCCCGAATAAGATTGAGAAGAGAATAAAAATGTGGCGCTGCTGTTCAACAACCACAGTGGGAAGCATCCCATATCACTGAAGAGGAGTGGTAACTCACATCCTATACAGTAGAAAACAAACTCAGAAAGATGAGCAGTATAGCTGCAGTGTATTCTGTTCCATTTCCTTCTCCTGTGGTCGTAGAAATGGATTTTTCCACGTATCCTCTTGTGACATCAAAATCTGATTTTCACCATTGATGCTACAGATTGCTATCATGCGCCGTTGTTGCTGGAAATATCTCAAGCCCCCACAAACTCTCCCCACTGACATATACAAAGCATCTCACCAATACCTCTGCGCCTTCCTCCGTCTTTTTGTGCCTTTGTATGAACTCTTGAGCACAATTTTTCTCCCATCTCTCCTCTCCGGGTCCTGCCTCTGCTCCCCCTACACATCACATCACCAGACATCACATGGGGCTGAGAGGAGGAGACTGCCCTCCCTCGTTGTAGATCCTGTGACCTCCAACTAAACTATTTCACTGCTTAACTGAGCCTGTTGCTGACGCGTGCCTTCCTGAGACATGCTTATATCCACAGATTTGCTATTTGACTTTCCCATTACGGCCCTAGATTGCTTTCCAGTGGGTGGTGAGAATGGAATCATTCCACTCTGCGCCGTGGTTAACAGCCACATTCACGGTCGTTGGGCATCCAAGGATCCATCTCAGAATTAAGAGCAGGGCTATCACAGAGACAGCCAATGCACATTACACAAATTCATGTACATACGTAAAAAAAGGAAGGCAAAAAGCTTTGTATTTATGAAGAACTGAGCTAATCATTTGTGTACCATGGAGTATAGCACAGCTCAGTGATGAACTGAATTAAGACATTGTTAGCCTCTTGTTAATGATCTCATCTCTAATTTCTCAAGAGTTTACAGCTGCATTTTTCAACAGTTTTTAACATTAACATTGAATCAAAATGGGTCACTCTGGCCCCCAATCGTGGATTCGGAAACTAATTACAAGTGTATGCGTTTGTAGGCACATCTTACTATATGAATTGTGTCCTTTGAATAGCAGGAAAACACTGCACCATTGACTTTAGCAGCAGTTTAACAGTTGTTGTTGGTCAATGGCTCAGTCACTTTCTGCTGCGTCAAGATAGCAATGCGCCAACAATGAGCCTGACCTCACCACGTTTTTAGGACCCACACGCCCATGGGTATCCAGATGGGTGCAAGTACATTTGCTACTTACATAACACGGCCTGAAAACACCGCATGTAAGAAAAGGCCCTTAGGATCTTTTAGCTCATTGTTTTGGTTTTATGTTGCATGTATGGCTCACAGTCTCACAGATAGTCACGACAGCAGTATTTAAAAATAAAAAATAGTTTTTTTTTTTTTTAAGATGTCCCACTCGTCC